TTGTCTTGATGACTATACCTTGTCTTGATGACTATACATTGTCTTGATGACTATACCTTGTCTTGATGACTACACCTTGTCTTGATGACTACACCTTGTCTTGATGACTACACCTTGTCTTAGTTGGCAAGGTCTACCTTGCCATCATACAAAATATTCATACCCAATAGACTTGATGACATAGAACCAAAGAGGAATATTAAGTTTTTTCAAGTTTTGACAGTGGTCGACAATCAAAAAAGAAAGCTCAGTCACGCTTTTGGTACTGAAATATAACTTAATTATCCAACATTCAGTCAGAAATAGATTGTTTTATAAAAATAGATATGCACCCTAATTTTATTTACTGGACATGGACTCCAAAATTTTCAATGATTTCGTCAGTGCTTTCAAGTTACATTGCATAGTTTTTAATTACTTTCATATGTCACTATCAGTATATCATAATCCGGGGATCAAATTATAATGAAATTGGAAAATAAAGGAAATAGGTACGTAGTCTATAGAAAACAGGGTGATAATGGGAAATATGATGTAGGAAACAATAAGACAACAAGTTGACGCAGACTAGCATCCTTCATACAAAGAACGGAAACAATATGATATTACATGTGAACAAAATTGTAGCAAACCAAACGGGGGCGGTACAACAATGTTCACTGCTATAGTGCACGCAACAATAACCCACCAACACGTGCCGCAACAATGACTCACCAACACATGCCCCAACAATGACTCACTGACATATGCCGCAACAATGACGTGGTGGTTTCCGTGGTTGCAGACCAGGCGGGGGTGCACGTGGGTGATGAGTGCGACGGTCTCAAGTGTCCCATGTGCATCCAACGCAAGTTCGTGTGCGACCTCGAGAGCAACTGCCACGACGGCCAGGACGAGAACCACTGCCGTGAGTACCCGGCATGTTGACACGACGGCCAGGACGAGAACCACTGCCGTGAGTACCTGTCATGTTGAGAGCAACTGCCACGACGGCCAGGACGAGAACCACTGCCGTGAGTACCCGTCATGTTGACAGCTACTACCTTTTCCACCAATAAATCCCTCATTTGTCTTTCAAATGCTCTCGGCTTCTTCTGCCTTCACTAGTTCCCTCTTCATCGCACAGAAAACTGGCGTAAACTTTCTTCTCTTTCTCTGCCCCCACAGAAGAAATGGGTCTCCCCCTTGGTGCGCGATGCAGTTTCGAGAACCAGGACTGGTGTGGATGGCAGAACTCGGACACCAACATGGAGGGCATGGACTGGAAGCTGCACCGCGGGGAGACTGACAAAGACAAGACAGGACCTTCCTTCGACCACACCTTCAGGAACGAGTCCGGTGGGTGCAATGGGTATAGTGGTTTCATTCTACGGTGTGGGACTGTTGATCTAGTGGGCTTGGTTGGTAGTGGTCGCGTTCTACGGTGTGGGACTGTTGGTCTAGTGTGCTTAAATGGGCTGTGGTCTCACTTTACAGTGTTGTACTGTTGATCTTGTGGTCTTAAATGGGTAAAGGTCACATTTTACAGTGATGAACGGGGAGTGGCCTAATTTTCCGATGTGTGACTGTTGGTCTAATGGGTAGAATGGGTAGTGGCCACGTTTCACCGTGTGGGACTGTTGGTCTAATCATCTAATGGGTTTACTGGTTGGTGGTCACGTGTTGCAGTGTAGTACTGTTGGTGTAATATGTTCAATGAGTATTGGTCACGTTTTACGGTCTTGGACCATTGGTAAAAGCAAAGAAAATACCACAAAACTTCACCATATCTTTATAAGAGAAAACGGTTCCCTTAAAAGAAACAGTATCTTTATAAGAGAAATGAGTAGTGGTCCCGCCTACTTAATAGGTGTTGCAGGTTGGCTACACAGAGGTGGTTTAATACTTTGGGTCGTAGGAGTGCTGGCCATGTGCCATTGTGCATATAAATAAGCAAGATTTTCCGTGCGAGTATTCACCTCTTTAATAAATATAATTTCCGGCCTTTCAGCCTCAACTTTCATCAATGTCTGCCTCTGCGTTATAAGGAACATCTTTTTATTGGGCTATTGAATCTTTAATGTTTACTTTCATTTCGAACTATTGCGAAAAATAGTACAAAAAATATTTAATGATGATACATATCGAATGGTGTTATTCATCCCCAGGTTACTACCTACTGGTGGAACTCCCCAGCGACGGGGAGTTCGGGGCCGAGGGGAGCATCATCTCCCCCATATTCCCCGCGCCCCCTTGCTACCACCGCAACAAGAAGAGTATTTACTACAATTCCTGCACGGTCAGTACCTGCTACTAGCTACATTCTTTGTGTTAGGAACGCAGTGTGTAATGCTACTAGCTACATACTTTGTGTTAGGAACGCGGTGTGTAATGCTACTAGCTACATTCTTTGTGTTAGGGACGCGGTGTGTAATGCTACTAGCTACATTCTTTGTGTTAGGAATGCGGTTTCTAATGCTACTAGCTACATCACTCACAGGATTAGTCACGCAGTTACGAGTGTATTTGAGATACCGGTAATATTTATATATATTTGTGAGTGGACATTTATTTAAAAATATATAAATATCATGATACATATTATATATTATGATAATATATTATAATATATAATATTTATATCTTATATATATTTATATATATATATATATATATATTATTGTGTATTACATTGAGATGATATTTACTACCATTTTATGAAAGGTAATACGTTAGTTATATTATAAAGGTATACATTAGTTATATATTATAATTATTGAATTATAATTACTTAATCAGACTATAAGTTTATTCAAGTAATAAGGTTAAGCGAGCGCCCCATTTGATTACTACTAACATGCGAGCGCAATCTCCTGCTTTACATTACGGCTTCTTGGGCCTGTTAGCTATGCTTTTCTGTAAGAATTTTGTTTGGTCATTTAAATTACGGTTAATTAAATTTTATTTGTTTTTGAGAGGTCTTGTTGCTGGTAATGCTGTTTATTGTTTAATAAGCTAAGCTTTGTTCTTCTGACGGCTTAGGCCGCTACATATGGAGAGTATTGCTTGCAGTGGTTACTCATTAATGGTAGCGCAATGGGATCCGCAACCTACCTACCACAGGTGTGGTTCTGGTACCACAACCTGACCGTACACTACCTACCACAGGTGTGGTTCTGGTACCACAACCTGACCGTACACTACCTACCACAGTTGCGGTACCTGTACCACGTGCTATAGACCATTACCTACCTACCACAGGTGCGGTTCTGGTACCACAAGTTGGGCCGCAACGGTGGGGCGCTGCGTGTGGAGATCGTGCTCCCGCACCGCCGCCCGGAGCGCCGCATCTCCATGGAGCACATCGCGGGCAACAAGGGGTCCGCCTGGAACCGCTTCACGGGGGAGCTGCCCCACGAGGTCAACGAGGAGTGAGTCCCGTGTCTTGTGTCCCGTGTGTCCCGGGCCCGTGTGTCCTATGTGTGTGTCCCGGGCCCGTGTGTCCTATGTGTGTGTCCCGGGCCCGTGTGTCCTATGTGTATGTCCCGGGCCCGTGTGTCTTGATATGAATGCAGGTCCTACAAGAATATTGTTATTTTTCACGATACAAGTGTCCCGGTCCCCAAGTATCAGTTTACTTATGGCCCGATGTAAGTGTCCCGGTCCCCAAGTATCAGTTTACATATGGCCCGATGCAAGTGTCCCAGCCAGTGTTCATATCACGCCATATCTATTCTCATGCATCAGATAATCAGTGATCAGTATTCAGTGTCAGAATTCCTCTCATGTCAAACACTAAGTTCGTGGTAATGTTTATACTATTAATGACTTAAGACAACTCATTACTTTATGCACTTCCCAGCTATATTAACTATTTCCAAACATTTCTATTGACTGTAATTATTTCTGTACACTCAAAAGGCGTTTTTGTGTATGATAAAATTTAAATCGCCTCGTTCTTCTCAAAAATTACTACATTATCAGTTTAAGATGACAATTAAGAACTATTATATCACATTACTTAGCATGAGAATTAAGCGCTATAATATCACATTACTTAGCAAGACAATTAAGCGCTATAATATCACATTACTAAGCCTAACCTATCTAATCATTAACAATTCTCCCCTCCCCCCCCCTCCTCCCCGCTGCTCGGTGCGTCGTACGTCCGGCAGGTATCAGCTGCGCATATCGTACGCGCGCGGCGCACGCCACCGCGCAGATCTGGCCATTGATGACGTCACTCTCGCCCCAGAGTGCTTCGGCATCGGTGAGTTATGCCACTATGCCACTAGTGCTTCGGCATCGGTGAGTTATGCCACTATGCCACTAGTGCTTCGGCATCGGTGAGTTATGCCACTATGCCACTAGTGCCTGTCTCTTATACACATCTAGATGTGTATAAGAGACAGGCATATTACAGTGTAGCAACATGATTAACATGTAGCGTGTTACAGTGGCATAACATGATTAACATGTCGCATGTTACAGTGCAGCAACATGGGTAACATGTAGCATGTTACAGTGCAGCAACATGGGTAACATGTAGCATGTTACAGTGCAGCAACATGGGTAACATGTAGCATGTTACAGTGCAGCAACATGGGTAACATGTAGCATGTTACAGTGCAGCAACATGGGTAACATGTAGCATGTTACAGTGCAGCAACATGGGTAACATGTAACATGTTACAGTGCAGCAACATGGGTAACATGTAGCATGT